AAAATATATCAAAGTACAAATAATAGGTATGATCGCAAGCATATAGCATAAGCCAGGCGTACGCTATCCTTTGCCATATATATATAATCATCTACTATAGTTCAAATATTGGTGTTTGCAAGCGAAATGATTATCCCTGCAGTATAAACTCAATTTGCACGATAGTATTATAGTATAAATTCAATTTCTTTCATAAATTAATATATATTAAAATATATAGGTAAAACTGTACCATAATGTTAAAGGTACAGATTAAGTTTTCACTATAAATGAATATGCGTGAAAAAGTATAAAAATAAACTAAATTTGACTATAACGTTAAGGATATAAGTTCAATTTGCAATAGAATAATTTGTTTGCATATGAAAGCATCAATCAAGCATTGTAAAATTCATCCATATATATTTATTGAAATTATTATTATTAGCAATTGTGTTTTATTGTATCCATTTAGCTAATTTATAATATTGATGGTTTCTTAATATATTAGTTGTATAATCAACATGCATAACTACTCGCTTATTAGTTTTCAATTAATCATATTTCATTTGCTATAATTTAAATTGTAATCGTTTAACTAAAATTCAAATTAATTATACTACACAAAATTATATCCAGTTTGACATATTTGGAATAAAAAAAGTATATTAGTCTAGCCTCATGTAACATCATATATATAAGAATTTATGTACTATCAATTCTTCTGTAACGGTACCCGATCTATGCGACAATTTCTAGCTAAGCCTATCCCCATTATCAAAATTTTGTTACATTGTTAAAAAAGTGGGTGACACCTTGCTTACTAGAATTTGACTATACAGTTAACTTAGAATGATCATGATACTCCCACCTAATTTACGATTTATAAATTGAAAATAAAATCAATACAACATTCATGGTAGATTTGATTATTTTCAATGTAGTCCACTGAATTTTTCTAAGCCATTTTACTAATTGGGGCAATAAAATCTGCAAATATCCAATAAAAAAGAAACGTATTTATTGGAGAATATTTAACGCCTACATATTATTCATTAAGTTTCCAATCTATAAATTATCAAATTTGTCTGTTGGTCGTTGGGTTCTTGGCGTATGGGAAAGAAAAAATCTCATTAAATGTTCATGAGACATAAACGCTATTGCGCATAATGTTTAGTGTTTCCAAATATTTTACTAATAATGATGGGCTTCTAAAGGACAAAAAGTATGAACAACCTATTGTGAAGATAAATATTTCCTTGAGGAAGTAAAAGGCACCGTAATTGGTGGAGATGACAATGCTTTAGAGGGCGGAGGCGGAGCAATCACAAGGAATCCAAAATAAAATTCTCAATAATTCTTCATAGCGATGAGTAAATAGTGTGGTTTTATTAAATTTATAGGAGTCGATTTTCTTGCACTACTTTTGTTTTAACTTTGAGTAATAACTTTAGTCAATAAATCTAGTTAGTATGTTTAAAGTTATACCAGTATCATATTTTCAATAACTTAATGATTTAAAAAATTTAGGAAAATAAGACATGCCTTTCCTGGAACAATTACCATGTTTATTTATATATTAACAAAATTTATCCGGCCAACGGGCGGCCCAAACCTAGTAGACAAGATAGTAATAACCTTTCAAAATTTTACTTAGGGTAATAGTAAGACTTGCCAATAATTAACCCTACTTTAAAGACGAAGGTATATGCTCGAAACCATAAAAAGAGGGTGTTTCCTTGCGAAACCAAATATCCATCGCTGGTGCCGAATTTGTTTGGGGTGGTGTTGATTTGATATTTTGCGATGGAAACTCTTGCGGTGCCGTTTGATTGGATGCACCACTGATTGATAAAATCGAGACGATCGTCAAATATCCACCACAGCGGTGATGTTGATTTGATCGATGCACCTCTGACTTCTAACCAAGAACGACCGTTACTTGGTTCACACCTCTCCAAACAATGTTCGAACGAGGGTGTTTGAGTTTTTGAGGAATCTACGTTACGATTGCTCCTATGGAGATTCCTGTGGAGAGCTCCGCGACTACGACTAAGAATACAACTATGGAGATCCTTCCTGGGAGGAGAGCTCCGTGAAGGAGTTACAGAAAAAAAGGAAGTTTTGATAGAGTTGTTCTGTGTTGAGTTTGTTGTCCCCTCTCTCTCCTTGCCCCCGGTGATTTTATCTGAAATCACTTGCGTAGTCTTCACGATTTGTGGAACTGTTTCCTCAACTGCTACGTCGTGAACTCCCACGTGTGTTCACTCTTCTCCACGGAGTCGTAGTCATCAACCGCTTTGATATGCTCTTCACTCCTGAATGTCACGTGCAAGAAAATAACTCCATTATTTTCATGAGCCCGTGACGTCGTTTATGCCTCCACCAACGAAGTTTCCATAACGACGCTGTTGAACTCATTCACGGCATTGCTCAGCTTGCAACTCTTTGAACTCATTCACGACATCTTTGAACTCTGCGATGTTGTTCGGCCTTGCGACATCGTTAAATTTCTCGACGTTGTCCAACTCGCAACACCACTGAATTTGCGACCCCGACATCGCGGTCCACTGCGATGTTGTTTAGCTCACGGCATTTTTAGCCTTGCGACACCGCATTAATTTAATATTTCACGTACCGCAGCTTGTTGGGCTTACTTGTGGTGTCGTTTTCTTCCCCAAACAACTCTGTTTTCTTTTTCTCCGCGACATTGTTTTATACTAAACACTGTCGTTTTCTAATCCGCGGTGTTGTTGATACCTCTTGCGGGGTCGTTTTCAACTAAACGACATGGTCCAAAATAATCATTAAAAATATTAATTAATTAAACCGGGGCGACTTTGAATTTGCATTGGACCTGGCGGCCTTGGACCACGCACTTACCCGATATATATGGTTTTTAACTAAACGGTGCTTACCAAGGCATTGTTGATACTTCTCACGAGATCGTTTTTTACCAAACAACACTGTTTCCCAGTCTCGAGATGCCGTTGAGCTTTGAGCTTCGCGACACCGTTTTATCTCTTTACGACATTGCTTGACTCCAAAAGGTACTGTTTCTCTCCTCCTCCGACAAGAAATAAGAAAAACACTCATTTTCCAACAGCAACACAAGTCCTGCGGCCCATGACTCACACATTGTTTTCTAGTAAACAATGTCGTTTCAAGTACTGCGGTGCCGGCGAGCTTCCTTGCTGTATCGTTTAAACTCTCCGCGATGTTGCTCGATTCCAAACGACACCGCTTTTTGTCATGCGACATAGAATTAAATGGTTACTAATTAATGCGGCATTTAATTGAATCAAAAATAATTTTAGGTGTAAAGAGAGGGGGAAGGTATATGCTCGAAGAAGTAATTTACAAAGATTGAAAAACTTACCGGAAGTCATACCAAATTAGTTTATTGTATGATATTTTTTGTACGATCATGATTTAACTGTTTTATACAGATAATAAATAATTTTTTAAATAAAATAATATATTTTTATTAAACTATCGTACCGAAAAAAAGGCTATCATATAGAAAATATCGGAATTACACAAGATAACAATGAGTCAAATACTAACTAACTGAACATGAGAAATCAAAGCACAACAGGTGTAAAATTCAAAACTACCAATTAATCTTAAAATTAAGAATAACTAAACTCAATTGTAAAGCGCATACGTTACCTTTTATCATAGATGTCAAAGAGTGGGTTCGATGTCTATTTGATGGCGAGAGACGAATGCTGACTTAGAGGAGAGAAAATGACGAAGTGTCGATTAAAGTTTGTTTTGAAGAGGGGGAATCTGTCTGGTTTTCATTTTTAGCCACTAACTTCCTCCCAAAACGATGTCATTTTGACGATGGAGATTTTTTCTTATAACTTTTCCGGGTTGTTCGGTTAATGATTAACACCGGCCATAATATCAAGTTCATAGGTTCAACATCTATATACCAACCGGCACGGATTTTTACTACTACTGCTGCTTGTAACATTTCAAATTGGACTCTAATACTGGTATTTTATGGTTCAACCACTGATACAGTACAATTTTTAATCCTTACTACTAATTTAAGCCATGGGCTGATGTACTCTCTTCCTTTCATTACGGGAGAGAAAAGAGACGTGGCACGTTTAAGCTCCTAAGTACGAAGATAGATGAGCTCCAAAATAGAAAGAACAACAACCGGAGAAAGAAAATGCTTCTGTGTGTATTGCGAGACTCAAAGAGGGACTTCAAAGGGACATACACATATTCCCAACCCTCCAGCCTCAAGAGATTACCAAAAATGAGTGTGACACATGAAACATTTAAGCCCCAACTTCAAGCTGCATGTATGTATCCCACCCACTTTGTTATCGTAATATCTTCATCAGATGAAAATGCTAGAGAGGTACAGCTACCTTCGCGGGAAAGTACATAAATCTGAAGTGGTAGAAACAGAGTATCAATCAATCAGTGCTGGTATTGCTTAGAAGAAGGAAATTGCGTCAAATGGGGATTCACTCCATCACCTTTTCTCTTCGATCGACTCGTTCATTTGTTGATGATAACGATCTTACAGAAGAAGAGTGCATGATTAACTCAAAACCCCCCCATCTTCCTCACATATCTAACACTATGATGTCGACTTTGATCCTTTTCCTTCATTCTTACACTAGTTTTTTTACTCTGTCGCTTTCTTTCTTGTGAACAGAGCATGTAGAACATTCCACTGGCTCAATGTGCTTGAAGTTTACATAATTCATATAGTTAAGCTGGAGAATGACAGCGATGGAGGGAAATTTGACTTGAAAATGAAGGAGACGGTCAAAACAAATTGGCTTTGACTTCACTCCAGAGTTGTTGTTCCTCCTAACACCTTGAGCTGCTGCTGCTGCTGTCTGTACTAATCAGTATTTAAAATATCTATCAGCCATGAAAATCAGACACCTAATCGGATTACCTGCAGCCATTGAACCTTGTTGAAGCTCCCTCACCATTGTAATTGTTCCCCCTCCCCTATATATAGACACATCCCACCTCCCTTCATACTCATCAAACTCTCACACCAACACAAAGTTCTTCAGCCCGCTCTCTCAATCAAAGAGTTCACAAATATCTTCATTCACTGTGAGCAGGTAAACAGAAGGGCAATGGGAGTTTCAGCAGCAGGGATGGTCCAGCTGGGAGTTTCGTTCGTAGCGGTCTGCTTGCTTGCTATTGCTGAGCCTGGGCATGCTGCAACCAGGCACTATACCTTTGATGTAATGCCACCAACCTTGCCACTGTTACATCAACTTTGCTATTTGATTAACTAAATCTTACTCTTCCATTAATACTGTGCTTGTTGGTCAATAATGCAAATGCAGATCAACCTCCAAAATGTGACCCGGCTCTGCCACACCAAGAGCATGGTGACAGTTAATGGACAGTTCCCAGGGCCCAAGATTATGGCAAGAGAAGGTGATCGTCTACTGATCAAAGTCGTCAACCATGTCCAAAACAACATGTCCATCCATTGGTAATAATAGAATTAAGTCTAACTATATATGTTCAAAGCTAAAACTATATGCTTAAGGTAAAAGTGAAGCAAATAGATTAAATGATGATTACCCTTCAGGCATGGGATCCGGCAGTTAAGAAGCGGGTGGGCGGATGGACCAGCATACATAACCCAATGCCCGATTCAGACCGGTCAGAGCTATGTCTACAACTACACCATTGTTGGCCAGAGAGGAACCCTATGGTGGCATGCACACATCTCGTGGCTTAGGTCTACTGTTTATGGTCCTATCATCATCCTTCCCAAACTTGGTGTCCCTTACCCATTTCAGAAGCCTTACAAGGAAGTTCCCATCCTCTTTGGTAATTTGTTTGACTCTAGTACTAAGAATAGTTCCTCTGTACTTCTGAGAATGCATGAGTTTTGACAATCCGTCGTTTTCACTTCTCCAAATTTGGTACCGATGCCCACCCTTCATTCTGTTCTTGTTTGATTATTTGCAGGGGAGTGGTTTAATACTGATACAGAAGCAATCATCAATCAGGCCACAATAACAGGCGGAGGCCCAAATGTCTCTGATGCCTACACAATTAATGGACTTCCAGGCCCATTATACAACTGCTCAGCTAAAGGTACTCAATTCAACTCCCTTCGTTAGATTTGTTGAATTAATCAACAATTCATCAATCTAACTTCACCATCTATGGTTGGTTCGATCGATTCCTCTTACAGATACGTTCAAGCTGAAAGTGAAACCGGGCAAAACCTACATGTTGCGACTGATCAACGCTGCTCTCAATGACGAGCTATTCTTCAGCATTGCAAACCACAGCCTGACCATCGTCGATGCCGATGCAGTATACATCAAGCCTTTCTCCACCGACGTGATCCTCATCACTCCTGGTCAAACCTACAACGTCTTGCTTAAAACCAAACCGGTTCACCCCAATGCTGCTTTTTTCATGGCCGCCAGGCCATACGTGACTGGACAGGGCACTTTCGACAACTCAACCGTTGCCGGAATCCTCGAATACGACCATCCATCAGACGCCAAAACCCACCCGATTTTCAAACCAACCCTACCCGCGCTAAACGACACCGCTTATGCGACAAAATTCACCAACAAGCTGCGTAGCTTGGGAAGCAAGCAATTCCCTGCCAATGTTCCACTGAAGGTTGACAGGCAATTTTTCTTCACCGTGGGCCTGGGAACCAACCCATGCCCGAAGAACCAGACCTGCCAGGGCCCAACTAATTCGACCAAGTTTGCAGCCTCGATCAACAATGTCTCGTTTGTGATGCCGACGACGGCTCTGCTTCAATCGCATTACACCGGTCAATCGAACGGCGTCTATTCTCCGTACTTCCCAATGAGTCCTCTAATTCCGTTCAACTACACCGGAACCCCACCAAACAACACGATGGTGAGCAATGGCACGAAGTTGACGGTGTTGCCATTCAATACTAGCGTGGAGCTGATACTCCAGGACACCAGCATTTTGGGGGCAGAGAGCCACCCGCTTCACCTGCACGGGTTCAACTTCTTCGTTGTGGGGCAAGGATTTGGCAACTTTGACAAAACCAAAGACCCGGCCAAGTTCAATCTGGTTGACCCGGTTGAGAGGAACACAGTTGGGGTTCCTTCGGGTGGGTGGGTCGCTATCCGGTTCCTGGCTGATAACCCAGGTTAGCATTTTGGGTTTTTTCCATTATGGATTGATTAAGATTGAGTCGAGTTAATTGAGCTTGATAATTTTTTGTGTGGTGAAAAAACAGGGGTGTGGTTCATGCACTGTCATCTGGAAGTTCATACGAGCTGGGGACTGAAGATGGCTTGGGTTGTTTTGGATGGAAAGCTTCCCAATCAGAAGGTTCTCCCTCCACCTGCTGATCTGCCCAAGTGCTGAGAAATACATTTACGTGCCCGCTTCATACGAGCACATGCCCGACCACAAGCTGTTTTTCCTCTTTTCTCTTTGGTGATTTGATTGATTTTTTTGTAACTTTGATTTGATTTTATTTCATGATGAGAGCTACTATTGAATAATTTCTAACTACTCCACTGTTGGCGAGGGATAGAAGAGACCGGATGAAATTTGAGGAGAATTTAGAGAAACTATGAGATATTGTAATTGATGAAATTATTTATTATTGGTTTTTGAAAAGATTCAATGGCAATGATGTCTGTTCCCTACAGCTGCAACTTTCATTTTTTAGAGAGAACAATTCAATTAATGTGATAGACAAAATGAGTCGAGCTGAGTCGAATTTTGATTTGACTCTTGCTCGGCTATTTAAAAAATGAGTCGACCTCAAGCTGTGTTTGTTTGATAAAACTTTGGATCAAACTTGACTTGAGTTGGGTTCATTATTGAGCTCACGAGCTCAATCTACTCGAGCTCGGTTCAAGCTCCCTTCCTGTGATTAAAGGTGGCAAATGAATTAGATTCATGGATTAATGGATCGAATGGATTGGATCCAATCGATTGGTGGATTCATGGATTGGATCCAATGGATTGGTGGATTGATCCATGTATCTAAATGGCATCCAAGCCTTGGACTAAAATGTAAATTTTGAAAGTTTAGGTACCAAAACGAAAATTTCCAATGATATTTTTTATAAAATATAAAATTTAAGTACCAAAATATAAAATATAAAAAATATATGTATTAAACCGTAATTTGTCATTTGTATTCATGGATCAATCCATGAATCCACCAATCCAATTGGATTTGGATCAAATAGATTGGATTTAAATGAATTGGATTTGGTGAATAATTTAGTGCATGAATTGGATTGGATTCATGAATTTGGATTCTAATTGCCACCTCTATTTGTGATTCTAAATGGTGTACCTTAACATAAAATCTTAAATAATATATATTATATGTCCTAATATTTGTATATCATATGATATGATACATGTAATTAAAGTCATGATGAAAAATGAATGATAATTCAATTTGCATGACTAATTGATCCCACAGTTGTATACTGTGCTGGTGGCATATTTAGTTCGTAAACTCTAACTAGCTCATGTCGTTTATTTAATAACTAGAATGGAAGCTCGCGTTTCGCGGAGCGATAATCAATCTCCATGGAATGCGATTTGAGAAAACATGGACGCTCTATATTAGAGGGAGGATCTGCTAAAAGATAATCAAAGTTTAGTGACCCGTTATTGTTGAAGGCAAGATCCGCTAAATATTAGACAGAGTAGCATCACATCCGATTCACTCCAACATGCTCTTAAACAGTGCAAATAAAGTGATTTGACATATTCGGGAGAAAGTTAAGAGAAAATCAACATTCCCTTTTGATGGAAAACCTTAAATTATCATGTAGAAGTTCGGTATTTGTTATTTTTGAGAAAATGGGTTTGAAAGTAAATCCCTCAATTCCATCTTGCACATGAGAAATTGGAAATAACGATTCATGAATATCATTTGCACAATGTTGGATTAACTGCAAATGTGATTCATGAATAGTTAATTCCACTTGTGACCGTATGCCCTTGCAAATAACAAAAGTATTCCTAGACTTGATCTCATCCGAGCATTAGAGGCACGTCAGGTATTTAAAAGAAATTGCTTGACCCAGGGGCGGAGCCAGGATTTCGAGACCGGAGGGGCCGAAAATAATTAAACAAAATGTATGTAGCCATGGTGGACTCAACCCGTGTGCTTTAAAACACAAGTCAAGTTTGTCTATCATTAGACTGCATAACTATTACACAACAAAATTTACGGAACAAGTTCTTCTTATAAAATTTGTACAAAATATCCTTACGATCCTAGGGGCTAGGACCAATCCTGGGGGTGGCACCCTAACTTAAGTGTAGCTCCGCCCCTGACTTGACCCATTCGACATAGTTGTATAGAATCAGATCTAGAGTGTATACCACACCACCTACAACAATAGTAGTAGTATTAAAAAGTGCAGAAACACGAAAAAGTGTAGCAGCGGTAGCTGAAATACAAAAGAAGCTAGGAAGAGAAGAATTTCGAATCAGGTCACCCACACAAATCAAATAACTACATAAGGGAACACATTAGCAACCAACAACATCAGAATCGCACTACAATGAACACGTGTACATACGAAATAGTAGAGGTAAGAAAGGTTTTTTTTTATTTTTTTATGTCAAACCGAGTTAAGAGTAGCAGGACTGTAGACGAGTCAAAACACAAATACTGGGTCTAAAATTTGGCAACACCGATACCAGGTCGAATTACAAAAGGGGGTAAAATTCATCCTCGACACAAAAATCTTGAACACGAGTACAACTCGCTTTGATCGGTTTGAATTAGATTGAAAAAGCGAGTAAAATACATTCTCGACCCAATGCAATGATTACAATAGTGGATAAAATTCATTCATGACCTCAAAACTGTCTAGGGTAAAACCCGTCTTCGACCGAAAATTCGTCAATATTGGATTCAACTCGATAAAGCGAGGCGAGTTGTTAACAAAATTCACACCCTACCCAATTCGTTAATTACAAAGTGGGTAAAATTCGTTCATGGTCTATGTAATAGTACTGTCATCCTTACTAATTGATGTGACTCTAAGTAATAGTAACTTTTTTGCTTGTTCTTTTAATAGGAAGGATAAGGATATAAAATAATAATAATAACAAAAGTAGGCAAAACTCGCTCTCGAACCAAAACTCATCAACATCGGATTCAACCCACTTTGACAGAGTTGATTGTTTTGTTTTTAGGTGCGGGATGGATGTAAAACGGATCGAGTATTTAATAAATTTACACCTGACCCAACCCTTCAATTACAAAAGCGAGAAAAACTATTTCTCGACCTAAATTTCGTAAACACCGGGTTCAACTCATTTTGGTTCGAGTCGAATTAGGATGAGTATTCATGAATTTGAGTTCAAAGTCTAAATGACACTAATAACAATAAGAAGCCAAAAAATTCTTAATTGCCACTAAAAGGGAAGCAAAGGCAAGAGAGGCGAGTTTTCAACAAATTAACACTGACCCAACACGTCAATTACAATTACAAAAGCGTGTACAACTCATTCTTGATGGAAAAGTCGCCAACACCGTCGAATTAGATCAAATGGCCATTGATTTGGTTCAATTGAGTTCAATTGTCATAAGCTAATTAATGAGAACTTCAATAGCATTTAACCCCTCCAAACTTTGGCTAATTACAAAAAGATCACTTGTGTGATGTGACTCTAAGTAATAGTGTCATCCTTACTTGTTCTTTTAAATTTTTAATTTAATAATAACATAAAATAATAATAATTAGCAAGACATATACTAGGAATGGGTTATGGTGATTACTTGTTTTTTAGTAATCACGGTGACAACCTCTTACGGTTAAGATTCTTTTAGGGTAATTTTGAAAATGAAAAAGTGACCACACACGATTATTCTATATAATCTACCAAAACCCTAGTTCTACCGTCCCTCCAGCCAAACCCACTGCAGCTGCCTTCACCACTTCCGTCGCACTAATCCCGTCGGCCGCCTACACCATCCCCGACGATGACTCCGTGCCGGCCACCCTCGGCCACCGCAGGGGCCTCCCTCCCCTCCGGTTACCCTCGACCACCACTGCGTGTACCCTCCCGATGCTCTCTCTATCTCCACCCAAGCTCTCTCTCTCTCTCTCTCTCTCTCTCTCTCTCTCTCTCTCTCTCTCTCTCTCTCTATCTTCGGGAGACGGCTACGCAAGATGGTGATGGCGGAACCAGATGTTGCGGTTGGGGTCGACGGTGACGTTGGTGGAGGAGAAACCTTTGGAGCGACGGGGATGGGAATTCCGATCGAACAAGGAGGGCACACAGCAACAGCCTTATCATTTGACGACGATGTCATTGTCATCTCTCGCAATTGGTTTTTGAAAGTCCATATATGCTTTTCATAGTGGTATGGAATGGTATTTATTTGGTCTTCACAGTGGTAGTGATTTGATTTATGGAATGATATTATTTTGTTTTTATTGTAGTAGTGGTGCTGGTTGATTTTGGTATTAGTTTGATTCTTATAATAGTATATATTGTTTATATTGATAGTTTTTGCCGTGTAATGGTACTACTTTTTTCCGTAGTTGTGTTGGTTGTATTGGTTCGTCTCGATTGGTTGTATTGGTATAGTTATTTTTATGTTTTGGCCTTGATTTCTTGTTTTATTTCTATAATGATTTTGGTATTTCTGGAAGTGGTCAAACAACTATTTTAAATATTGAATACCAATCCATCGAAACAGATATACACTAATAATACAATGTAAACACTAACAATAAAATTTAGCATCACTACAAAAACAATAAGCACCAGAATACCATTCATACCCAATGTAAACACTACCAATAAAATTTAGCATCACTACCAAAACAATAAGCACCAGAATACCATTCCTACCCTTAGTAGCCACGGTGATTCCTACTTTTGTAGTACTTACCATATACTATGAATGAGGAAATTGCTGCACTTGAAGTGAATTATACGCGGTATCTCTTGCCTCGTACTCCTAATTTGTCTATTGTTGGTAGTAAATTGATATACATTATCAAGGTGAAACCGTATGGCTTTTTAGATTGTTACAAAGCACGATTAGCGGCACTAGGGTTCAATCAGGAATATGGCATAGACTATGAAGAAACTTTTGCTTTGGTGACCAAGATGCAGACTGTGAGATGTGTTTTGGCTATTGCTGTGATGCGAAACTGGCCTTTGGTACAACTAGATGTGAAGAATGCTTTTTGTCATGAAGATCTTAAGAAGACGATTTATATGGCTTAGCATGCAGGCTATTCTAAAGGAAATGTGAACATGATATGTAATCTTCGACGCTCTCTATATGGGCTCAAATGGGCTCCTCGAGTTTGGTTTGAGAAATTCCACAATACAGTCATCCAGATGGCTTTGTTTAGAGTCAGAATGATCTTTCTCTATTCCTGACGCAGAAGGTGCAAGGTATTAACTTTTTACTTCTCCTTGTTGATGATATGACAATATCTGGGGATGATCAAAATGGAATCAAGAGATAACCAAATCATTACATATTGCCTTTAAGCTTATGACACTTGGGAATGTTTCATATTTTCTTTGACCGGAGATATGACATACATATTAAGGTATATTCATCAATCAACATAAGTATATTCGAGATCTATTGGCAAAGCATCAGTCTGAATAGTGCATCTGTACGATGTCGACGAAGCTATATACTAGTGCCATACGAATTGCCACCAATCCCTGTGTTACATGATCAGACAAAACACATTGATATGCATGTACATTACATTCAACCGACAACTTGTGGAGGAAAGAGTCATTAAGTTTAGCTATTTGTCAATAGAAGATCAGACAACATTTTTGTTGACAATTTCCATTGGCTCAACTCGTCATTGGTACTTGTCTGATTAACTGATGTTTGCTTAAGAATCATCAATTTGAGTGAGGGTGTTAATATGCTAACTTGTGTTGGTTTAGGTACTTTTATGTAAACCATATAATTATGTGAGGGTTCACAAACTAAACTGGTGCTAGGGTTCAAGGTACAAACCGTGGCCTATATATGTATATTTCTTGAAAGTCAAGTTAATACGATACTCTGAAGAGTTCTAACTCTCTCATGTACTATTTCTGATACTCAGTGAAACCACGTAAAATATTGTCCTTGTGTTTGCGTTGGATCTCTTGTTTTATTAACTTGAGAAAAAAAGGACGTGGCAGGTTTAAGTTCCTACGTACAAAGATGAGATCCGAAGTAGAAAGAACAACAACCGGAGAAAGAAAATGTTCCTGCGTATTGTGAGACTCAAAGAGGGACTTCAAAGGGACACATACCCAACCTCCAGCCTGAAGAGATTACCAAAAATGAATGTGACACATGAAATCTTCAAAGTGCCAAGTTCAAGCTGCATGTATGTATGAAGGAATACCCATACAGCCACCTTTGCGGTAAAGTATGTATATGAAGAGGGTATCAATCCGTTCTGGCATTGCTTAGAAGAAGGAATTACGTCAAATGGGGATTCCCTCCATCTTTCTCTTCGATCGATTCGTTCATTTGTTGATGATAATGATATTACAGAAGAAGAGTGCATGATTAACTTAAAACCACATCTTTCTCAAATATATAACTCTATCCTTTTTCTTGCTTCTTACACTGGTTTTTCACTCTGTCGCTTTCTTTCTTCTGAGCAGAGCATGTAGAACATTACTCTGTCTCTATTATTTACTGTCAAATTATAATAGAAGTTTCCAAGTAATTTTACTCTAATCTTGGACGAATACCCCGAAGTTTAATCGTAAAAAGGTGTTAACTAAGTGGCCTCATCCATTGAAGGCTCAATGTGCTTGAAGTTTACATAATTCATATAGTTAAGAAAAGGAGTTTATATGGCAAGCTGGAGAATGACAGTGATAGAGGGCAATTTGACTTGAAAATGAAGGAGGCGGTCAAAACAAATTGGCTTTGACTTCACTCCAGAGTTGTTGTTCCTCCTAACACCTTGAACTGCTGCTGCTGTCTGTATTAATCAAAATCAAGAGTATCTATCTGCCAAGAAAATTCGATACCTAATTACAGAACCCATGTAACATTGTTGAAGCTCCCTAAACATTGTTCCTCCCTATATATAGACACATCCCACCTCCCTCCATATTCATCAAACTCCCACACCAACACAACACATAGTTCTTCAGCGCGCCCACTCTCTCAATCACTTAGTTCTCCAATCTCAGCATTCACTGAAAGCAATAAGACGGAAGGGGAATGGGAGTTTCAGCAGCAGGGATGATTCAGCTGGGAATTTCTCTCGTCGCGGTCTGTTTGCTTGCTATGGCAGAGCCAGGGCATGCTGCAACCAGGCACTACACGTTCAATGTAATGCCACAAACCTTGTCACTGCTACATAAACTTTGCTGTTTGATTATGTTAATCTTACTCTTCGATTAATACTGCATTTGTTCGTCAATAATGCAGATCAACCTGCAAAATGTGACCCGTCTCTGCCACACCAAGAGCATGGTGACAGTAAATGGACAGTTCCCAGGGCCCAAGATTGTGGCCAGAGAAGGTGATCGTCTACTGATCAAAGTCGTCAACCATGTCCAAAACAACATGTCCATCCATTGGTAATGAAGTCTAAGGCTAAAATTGTGCTCTAACTATACCTGAATTGAATTAATCATGTGACATATACTGCTTCAGGCATGGGATCCGGCAGCTAAGAAGCGGGTGGGCGGATGGACCTGCATACATAACCCAATGCCCGATTCAGACCGGTCAGAGTTATGTCTACAACTACACCATTGTTGGCCAGAGAGGAACCCTATGGTGGCATGCACACATCTCGTGGCTAAGGTCAACTGTTTATGGTCCTATCATCATCCTGCCCAAGCTTGGTGTCCCTTACCCATTTCAAAAGCCTTACAAGGAAGTTCCCATCCTCTTTGGTAAATCGTTTGACTCTAGTACTAGACATTTGCAATGGGCTCTGGTAGCTTGGTAACCAGTAATTGTTCACTGTGGTTTTGAAAATGCATGAGTTTTGACAAGTCGACGTTTTCAGTTGTCAAATTTGGTAGCAAACCCCTACTTCCCTTGATTTATGTTATTGTTTGATTAATCTTTTCTGAATTCACTCTTTGCAGGGGAGTGGTTTAATGCTGATACTGAAGCAATCATCAATCAGGCCACGGTAACAGGTGGAGGCCCAAATGTCTCTGATGCGTACACCATTAATGGACTTCCGGGCCCATTATACAACTGCTCCGCCAAAGGTACTCAATTCAGTTTGCTTCATTAAGTCGGTTCAATAGATCTCCAATTCATCAATCTAACTGCAACCACTATTGCTGGTTCGATCCATTCCACTTACAGATACGTTCAAACTGAATGTGAAACCGGGCAAAACCTATATGTTGCGACTAATCAATGCTGTTCTCAATGACGAGCTCTTCTTCAGCATCGCAAACCATAGCATCACCGTTGTTGATGCCGATGCAGTATACGTCAAGCCTTTCTCCACCGATGTTCTACTCATCGCTCCCGGTCAAACCTACAACGTCTTGCTCAAAACGAAACCGGTTCACCCCAACGCCACATTTTTCATGGCCGCCAGGCCATACGTGACTGGACAGGGCACTTTCGACAATTCAACCGTTGCCGGAATCCTCGAATACGAACATACATCACACGTCAAAACCCTCCCGGTTTTCAAACCAACCCTACCCGCACTAAACGACACCGCATATGCGACAAAATTCTCCAACAAGCTGCGTAGCTTGGGAAGCAAGCAATTTCCAGCCAACGTTCCACAGAATGTTGACAAGCAATTCTTTTTCACCGTGGGCCTAGGAACCAACCCATGCCCGAAGAACCAAACCTGCCAAGGGCCCACTAACACGACCAAGTTTGCAGCATCGATCAACAACGTCTCGTTTGTCATGCCGACAACTGCTCTGCTTCAGTCGCATTACACGGGACAATCGAATGGTGTCTATTCTCCTTACTTCCCGATCAGTCCTCTGATTCCGTTCAACTACACCGGAACCCCGCCGAACAACACGATGGTGAGCAACGGTACGAAGTTGACGGTGTTGCCGTTCAATACTAGCGTGGAGCTGATAATGCAGGACACCAGCATTCTGGGGGCAGAGAGTCACCCGCTTCACTTGCACGGGTTCAATTTCTTTGTTGTGGGGCAAGGATTTGGCAACTTTGACAAAACCAAAGACCCCGCCAAGTTCAATCTGGTTGACCCAGTTGAGAGGAACACAGTTGGGGTTCCTTCGGGTGGGTGGGTCGCTATCCGGTTCCTGGCTGACAACCCAGGTTAGCATTTTGGGTTTTACATTATTGATTGAATAAGGTCGACTCGAGGTAATCGAGCTAATAATTTCTATGTATGATGTTAAAAAAAAACAGGGGTGTGGTTCATGCACTGTCATCTGGAAGTTCATACGAGCTGGGGATTGAAGATGGCTTGGGTGGTTTTGGATGGAAAGCTTCCCAACCAGAAGGTTCTCTCGCCACCTGCTGATCTGCCCAAGTGCTGAGAAACCAATTTATGTGCCCGGTTCATACAAGCACATTCCCGACCACAAGCTGATCTTTCTCTTTTGTTTGATTTCGTTGATTTTTGTAACTTCGGTTTGATTCTATTTTCTTAACGAGAGCCAATCTTAAATAACCTGTAACGACCCGATTGTTGACGAGGGATAGAAGAGACAGGATGAAATTTCAGGACGGAGGTATGACATATGAGGATTCAGAGAGACTAAGAGATATTGTACTGATGATGTTATTTATTATTGTATTTTGGGAAGATTCAATGGCAAAAGTGAGATTTTTTTTTCTATCAGGCTTAAGTTCCATTAATGATTTCACTTTAGAAAATTGTGTTGATTTTTGGATGCTGGTTATGTTCTAATAACACTTATAAAGAGTTGGGACTAAATTGAAAGTTTTGAAAAGTCATAGACTAAATTATAATTTAACATTCGTGCTCAAAATATGGGAAAAATCTCAAAATACACATGTTTTAAAAAAAAGGCCAACTTCACTTGTATAGCGAAAACTTTGACGTTTGTGACAAATATAGCCACTTTTGGATAAATACCAGAAATAGCCAGAATTTTGAAAGTTCGATGACAAATATAGCCATTTCTGTTACATAGTTTGACGGCGTCAATAACACCGTTAGTCAAATTAACCAAACGCTTACCTGGCTGTCAACTCACCGGACACATCATTGACAACTCAACAATACTTGCCATGTCATATTTTAATTTAAAAACAAATAAAAAATGACAAATTATTTTTTTCATCCTCTCTCCTCTCCCACCACTCCCGTCGAAGAACTCTTTCTTCTCCCTCTCCTTCCACCACCGACCCCAACCCCAAACCCATATCCTCCTCCTACTCCGACAGCGTTCCAGATCCAACCCACCACCGACCCCGCCGACACCACTGCGACAACATACTGACCCTACGATCTCTGTCACGGACATAGACTTCCGAAGTCCGTGCGGCGTCTTGAGGTGCACTCATTCCTCAAGACCAGCCTCTCTGCATACGCATGCCAACTGGTTTAGCCCTGCCTTGGGCTCATCAGGGAGATGGCAATAGCCTCCGACCAGTTGTGCCTTCTCTTGCAACGATCCCTTTCATAGCCACATCCTGACTCGGCCAGATGCGATGCACAGGCAGACAACGCCTTATCGCTAATGTCGCCCCCTTTACCCTTCTCATGGCAAGACAACCAGATGGCAGCATTCTTCAGACGATCAACACGGTCATGACATTTCGGGTCGTGACATTCTCCACCATTCATAATGCAGCACGTCCTCGTGCTGGTGAAGAATGCTTCTCTCCGCAGCATGTATTGCAACTCTCGAACCGATTGTGGGAATCCGCATACGATACCATCCTCTGACGGACAGGCTCCGGTCGCGTTCTCGGGCTAGCCTGTTGTGCCCACGCACATACCGCTTCGCCCCTCGACATCAACCTTCACTCTTTGCTTCTGCTGCGCTAGTACCTCAGTCGACCTTCACCCTACACTACTCCCAGCGTTTGTACCTCAATCGACCTTCACCCTACTCTCTCGCTAGCGTTAGTTCCTCGGTTGAACGGCATTCTCGGCCGCTGCATCTTCAGCCTGTCGAGGTCCCCCACAACGGCGCAACACATGTGAATCTGCGTCCGGACCGCCTGATATGCTCACCTAGGACCGCCTCTCATTCGGGCATAGGGTCGGCCCATACACGACCTATGCCGTACTGAGAGAGGAACTAGGCTCTTCAGCCTAACCAGGCTCTGATACCACTTGTCACGGACATAGACTTCCGAAGTCCGTGCGGCGTCTTGAGGTGCACTCATTCCTCAAGACCAGCCTCTCTGCATACGCATGCCAACTGGTTTCGCCCTGCCTTGGGCTCATCAGGGAGACGGCAATAGCCTCCGACCAGTTGTGCCTTCTCTTGCAACGATCCCTTTCATAGCCACATCCTGACTCGGCCAGATGCGATGTACAGGCAGACAACGCCTTATCGCTAATGTCACCCCATTTACCCTTCTCATGGCAAGACAACCAGATGGTAGCGTTCTTCAGACGATCAACACGGTCACGACATTTCGGGTCGTGACATCTCCCTCTGGCTCATAGCATCCGACTGCTAAACCCTTCCATAAAGATCAGAACCCAAAGTGCAGGGCAACCTCGGAAAAGGTAAAACCGGAGAGAGGAAATCAGTCGGAGCTGCGTGTCCGAGGAATCGAGCAACAACAGCAGGAGCGATCCGAAGAACAACATGAGTGGAAGTAGCAGTAGTGGAAATCCTCCCAAATACACCCAGGTCCGAAATCTCCACTCCTATCGTAAAGACCGAATCTCATTATTATGCTATAGCTGCTGAATTTTGGCTAGAAGAGAAGGGTTGCTAAGTTAATCTACTGTGCAATGAATCCATTCTCTTATCACTAACCTCTACAAAGAAAATCTAACCACGGAATGCAGTGTCACAAACTTTGCAATGGAAAGTAAAAGGGTCATGAGCTAACCTTCTGCCACCACTAGTTTGATTCCGGTTGAAGCCTTCTGCAGGTGAATGAGCAGCATCAGCAGGAGGAATATTCTTGGCAACGATCTCAATCTTCATTGGTTTCCCATCTAATTGCACATCATTATATCTTGCAAAGCTTCAAAACTGACGAAAATTCAAATTGCATATCTACGACCGGAGAAGAGAGGGCACTGCGCAATGCGACGAACACGAAGAGAGCGGGGGATGGGGGGGCGACTGGGAGATGCAGCGATTGATTGACGATGTCGACGACGACGGGTATTGAGATCTGGAGCAGGCGACGACAATTGGCGACGATGATGATTGACGATGGCGACGATGATGAGTATTGAGATCTGGAGCGGGCGATGGCGATGATTGACGATGGTGATGGCGACGACGACAGGTATGCAGGGGTCGATTGAGCAAATAAGAGATTGGAAACAAAGATTTTTTTTTATTGATGAGGTTGAACAGAGACGGAGTTGGGCTTAGGGGGATGTGGGGTTTGGGCAATTTTTCTTTTTATTTTTTTATTAATCTATGTGGCAATGTTGTTTAAAAATTTCACCACCACCTCAGCAATGTCGTTAGTGCAGTCAGCTATTTGGTTAACACCGTCAAAGAATTGGACAGAAGTGGCTATTATTGGTATTTCCCCAAAAGTGGCTATATTTGGCAAAACCGTCAAAGTTTTGGCTATACAAGTGTATTTGGCCTTAAAAAATCTCAAAATACACACGTTTTATGAAAACTTCTCAATCTACACATGTTTGGGCATCACTGCGACTGTCAATAGTAGTGAATGTATTCACAGCGGCAGACGATAGCGGTGAATGCATCACCACAGTTCTTGGCCGCGGTAAAGACCTGACCCAAAGCTGAAACTTCATACGAACATAATTTTGCGCTCGGTTATCCGATTGCAGCGAAATTTTTTGATTCCACATAACTTTTCAACATCTTTCAATATGCAACTCACCTTGATCCCAACAAAATGTCGCTTGCTACCTCGAACGAGCAATTTTTCGATTTCGACAAACTTTGAAAGAGCATAACTTTGTGCTTAGCAATCCTAATGTCATGAAAAGTTTTTTATTACGCGAAACTTTTTGAGGACTACAACATTTATCATAACCATAATTTTGGAATGTATGTGGATTTGTGAAAAGTAAAGGAAGAGTTATAGCCAAAAATATTTCTTGTTTTGAAAATTCTTTCCTAGTTAAAGTTGTAGTCCTTAAGAAGTTATGCGTAGTTAAAAAAATTCATGACATTCGGATTGCGGAGCACAAAATTACGTTCTTTCAAAGTTTGTAAAAATCGAAAAATTACTCTTTCGGGGTAGCAAACGACATTTTTTGGGATGAAATCGAGTTTTTTTCGGTAAGTTAACTTTACGATTAAGCACCCTCTTGGCTATAACCAGCACAAGAGCTCGAAAAAACACAAAGGTTAAAACGCCCACACCAGTCCTTTACAAGGAATCACCAAAAGAAAAACAAAACCCCCTACTCATCTAAACATTTACAGCAGGAAATAGTTTTGCTTAAGAGTATCTGAAACTCAGGTTGAGCCACAGTACGAGGCTGTTCACCAAAAAACCCTTCGACATCTCTCCTTCCAGACAGCATTAACACACCAACACCATATCGATGCTTCAATCTCCCCACAGCTCCCTTTCTTCCTAACTCTGGCTACAATTCTGTCCAGCAGTTCAGACCAGCTTCCGGGGTACAGTACCCTTCCTCTCAGCAGAGTAGCAGTCATCTCCTGGATATAAGTACATTGACAGAAAAGATGATCTCGAGATTCCTCTACTACATTACAGAGCACACAGCTGCTATCATTTATTACACCCCATATTTTGAGCTTGTCCCTTGTAGCGAGTCGATCCATGATAATCAGCCAAACCTGCACACTATTTCGAGGTAATACAAACTTGTTCCAAACAACCTTCCACCAGTTAACGCGAGGGTGCCTCCTCCTAATAGTGTCCCATATAGCAGAGACTGAGTATTTATCCAATCGCCTACCCAGCCATGTCACACAGCCTTGAGCCACATCCATTCTAAATCTAATCCACGGTCTGACTTTCAATACTTGCTTCCAGATCCAGGAACCAGATTGTGTTACTTTTGCTTCCCATATTGAAACCCCTCTGAGTCTGTATTGATTTATCCAGGCTACCCAAAAGCTACCACCCTAAAGGAGAAGCAGCCATATAAGCGAGCCATAGAAGCCACATTCCAAATAATCAAGTCCTTCAAACCTATCCCCCCTTCTTTCTTTGGCATAGCTATAACATCCCAAGCAGCTTTAGCTCTGCCTGACTTATCCCCATGCCAAATAAAGTCTGAACAGATTTTCTGGATACTCTTAAGAACCTTCTTTGGTATAAGAAAAATGGCCATCCAATAATGAATCAACGAGTATAAAACTGATTCTACCAACTGAAGCTTCCCAGCATAAGACAGTTTATTTGCCCTCCAGCTCCTGACTCTGCTAGTAATCTAATCTATCAAAACTGTACATTCTCTACTGGAAAGTTTCCCAGCAAGGAGAGGCAGACCAAGGTACCTCACAGGTAAAGTCCCTTCTTTGAACCCAGATATCCTAAGAGCATTCTGCTTAAACTGATGCACATAACCCCCAAAGAAAACCTCACACTTATCCGGATTACATTGGAGCCCAGAAAGCTTGTAAAAAACATTCAATATGGATCTCAAACTATTCAAAGCATACGTTGATCCCTCAGTAAATATTAATAGATCGTCAGCAAAACTCAGATGGGTTAATCCCAAGTTCTCACACTGCGGATGGAAAGGAAGAATACCTTGAAATGCAGCCTGATTCAGTATTCCAGTAAGGGGTTCCATGGTTATGGTAAATAGGTAAGGGGAAAGGGGATCCCCTTGCCTAACCCCCTTAGCAGCATTAAAGAACCCAAACAAACTCCCATGAATAGAGATGCTAAAAGTAGCAGAGCTCAAACAGACCCTAATCCACTGCAAAAACTTCTGTGGAAACCCCATTTTTTCCATAACCACCTTCAAATACCCCCAATCAACCGAATCAAAAGCTTTACGTAGATCCACCTTTACTGCACATCTTGAGGAAATATTTGCTTTTTTGTAATTATGTACAATTTCCTGTGCCATAAGTATATTCTCAACAATGCTTCTTCCCTTAATAAAGGCAGACTGGTTCCTACTAATGAAAGAGGCAAGCACATTCTTCAACCTATTTGCTAGGACTTTGGAAATGATTTTGTAGAGAACATTAATACATGCTACAGGTCTAAATGAGTTCAATTGATCAGCATTTGCAACCTTTGGCACAAGGGTTAAGTAGGCAGAATTCATACCTTTTGGCATTTCAGAGTCTTTAAAGAACTGTTGAACCCCCTCCACAACGTCTGGTCCAATAGTCCCCCAGCATTTTTGAAAGAAATTTGCAGTCCAGCCATCTGGCCCTGGTGCCTTATTAGGGTTCATATGAAACAAAGCTTCATAGATTTCCTTGCTAGTCACTTCCCTACACAAATTATTCTGATCCTCTAGGCCAAGCCTATGTGTAAGATACCCCTCAATAAGAGCCTCATCTACAGAGACCTCCTGATTCACCAAACCAAATAAATGCTTGTAATATCTTATTGCTTCATCTGCTATATCCCCCACATCTGTTAGCACCTCCCCAGAGGAGGCAATGAGCTTTCTTATCTGTTTCCTGGCAGCCCTGATTTTAGCAGTGTTATGGAAGAAAGAAGAGTTCAAATCTCCCAGGGAAAGCCATGATATCCTGGACCGTTGTCTGAAAAAAGACTCCTCAGCAAGCTTTAAGTGTAGAAATTCCTCAGTAACCTGCTTAACTTCTGCAAAATGATACTGTGAAGGGTCCTCAAGAGCTTTTAATGGTACAGATTTCATCTCTCCTTCCTTCTCCAATACTTTCCCAGAGATATCCCACAGCTCCTTCTTATTCAGAGTTTTCAACTCCTGTTTCAATATATTTAACCTCTGGTTGATACTCCATAACCCAACACCCGAGACTTCATTAGCCCAGCTTATTTCTAAGAGCGAATTAAAGGATTCTTGCTGAAGCCACATATCAAAAAACTTAAACGGCTTTGGAAATTTCCTCATTGGAAGTCTAGGGGTAACCAGAATACCACAGTGATCCGAGAAATCTGGAGCTAGAAATGCAACCACACATTCAGGGAAACCAGCCAACCATTCAACATTCACCATCAGTCTATCTAGATTTCTTGCTATTGGATTATCCTTCTGCTGATTTGACCACGTAAATAATGGTCCAGTGGCAGTATGATCCACAATTTCCATTTGTCTAACCCATTCTCTGAGATCAGTAGTACTAGTAGAAATAGACACCTCATTTGAAGCCTCCGAGGGATGCAGAAATGCATTAAAATCCCCTCCAATCATCCAAGGGAAACCCTGAACATTCCATTTACTCAAACTCCTGTATGTAACCAGCCTCTCTTTCTCCTCATTAGATCCATAAACCGTTGTGAAGAAAAATTGATCATTATTCTCAAGAGACACTAAAGCATGAATGTAGTTCTCCTCTGTAGCCAAAATCCTCAACTTAACCTCATCACTCCAACCAATCAAGATTCTGCCCAATTTGTGATTTTTGTAATTATCTGCAAACCGATATCCACCGAACTTCTGCCTTATTTCCCCAACTTTTTTTTTCTTTTTGTATTCTAGTTTCTAATAGAGCAAACAAAGTTACCTTATTCATTTTCAGATACTGAAGCACTGCTACATGCTTCCTTGGGCTATTAAAGCCCCTCGTGTTTCATATAAGAACTGTCATTGTCAAGATTTCACCACCTTAGTGGCTCCTCCCTGACTGCGTAAGCCCTCCCTAGTTGTCTTCTTTGGTGGAGGCTGCACACTGATCATCCTGCTACCACACAACACCTCAAAAGCATTTGAATGAAGAACAGGCGTAGCATTTTTCTTAGGTTTGGGTTTAACTCCATTGATGACTTTGTTAAATTCCTCCTGAGTAGGTAAGGCACTTGGAGTTACTGGAGGGGTAGCATCAACCACAACTTCTTTCCCTTTATCCATTTTTGCCACTGCAGCCACCTTGACCCCCTCACCTTCTGCAACTTTGTCCAGAACAACCACATGAGCCTGCTTAACTCTCCAAACCTGCTTTGTCTGCACCCCTGGCTCCGGTGTTGCACAGTCCTGCCCGAAATCCTGGCATTTAGCACAGCATTTCGGAAGCCCACAGTATTCCACTCCAATAGAGAACTCAGCCATGTCTGGAGTAACACTGATCTTGTCAACCTTCGCCTTCTTGGCACTAACCTCCACACAAACCTTAGCTCGGCCTACACGTTCTCGCTTTGTAGTTGAATGATCCATACACAGAGGTCTTCCCACTGCACTAGCAATCCGTCCCAATCCCTCTCGCAAGACTAGCTCCGCAGGGAGCCCTGAAAGATTGACCCACCTCCTGAGACAAACAATTTTCTCTTTGAAATGCCACGGCCCTCCTTCAAACACTCATCGACAAACCTCTTCTGTGGGAAACTGGAAAAGAACAAGATGATCTTCGAGTAACGAAACCTTGACCGTCTCATCCCTACCCCAGATCCAGTTAGCCCAATTCCGAAGCGCTGATAGCGATGGAAGAGTAACCAGGAATTGCCCGACGAGGCTATGCTCCCACTTCTTCGCCCCTTCCTCGATAACTGATTTGGGGATCCGAAGCGAACCATTCACCATCTCAGGCTCAAAATACTCCAGCCGATTCTCCTCTGCCACATGAAACAATGATGCCCAGGACCTACCGCCGCTGACGGCGCCCGACACGGCGGCCATCGCAAACCCTAAAAACGGTCAAAGAGAAAAGAAAGAGAGAGAAAAGAGAGAGAGAGTCAAATTATGTGGAATAAAAAACAATTTGCTACAATCGGATAACCGAGCGCAAAGTTACGTTCTTTTGAAGTTTTAGCTTTGGGTCAGGCCTTCACCGCGGTCGACAACCGCGATGATGCATTCACCGCTTTTGTCTACCGGAGTGAATATATTCACTGCTGTTGACAGCCGCAGTGATGCCCAAACATGTGTAGATTGTGAATCTTTCATAAAAACATGTGTATTTTGGGAATTTGGCCCAAAATATGCACCTCAAAAACTTCTCCAAATGCAAGTGGGGCAACCTTTTATGTGATTTGCTTCCTTCACCAACACAAGCTTTTCCTAAACTTTAAAATTTTGGAAGACATTATTTTAGCCCACTCCCTCATTCAGAACCTCTATGTTCATCTATTATTCATTGGATCTACATTTATTGTCTTCTGGGATTTCCATCGCAGTTATTATTTATTAGGTTTTTAGCTATTCTTCAATGGTTACTTCGTGACAACTATCATCCACTGAGTTTTAATCTATTGTTTGTTGATTCACCGACCAATTCGCAACCCATTTCGAAGCATTGTCGGCCAAAACATAAGTTATTATCACCCTCAACCATTTGTCACGACCACTACCAAAGATCCATACAAGATCTGCTTTGTCCAATCCTCGCATTTTCCACCAATTCACAACCCATCTCGAAATACTATTGGTGAAATCCTAAATTGTCCTCCTAAAATGTTTCCCACGGCTACTCCCAAATATTTGGCATATAGATAATTTCGTCTTCCTGGTATTTCAACAATCTAAAATTCACAATATTCATAACAATTTCAAATTCTCATTCCATTGTTGTCATCCCAAACAACAAACTACCCTTTCACTACTATTGTTTAAAATGTGTTGGCTGATTGGATCGCAAAGAATTCTCGTCTTGATCTTCTCCCTCCGGAATGGACTGTCATTGCCGACCTTGTTGCTCCATTATTGTAATTGTAATTGTAATTCTTCCCACTTGTTTTGGTTTGGAATGAAATGAATGATGTTTGTTGTAAAAAAAAAAATACTATTGTTTAAAAGATTATCTTCTCGCTAACATGCGTAGCAATAGCAAGCAAGCTTATGCTAGTTACGGATGAAAAAATATAAAATATTTGTTTTGTTATATCGTGATACATATTTGATTTTTTATTATGTTTATAACATTTGTAACCATTTTATTGACCGCCCAAATCTGTATGACCAATTTTGATCCATTATAACAAAGTAAATTAAAATAAAGTCGGCAGAGTAGCTATTTTCCCCTTATGAATTAAATCCATTACCCAACAAATCCACATCAATTGTGCTAAACTAAGGATCCCCGATTCCACATTTCCACACTGGAAAATCATTTATATGGAAATCCTTAGTGAGACTTTTTCTTGTTCCAAAGTAGATGTGTTTTGCACTAGTTAACGGACTTGTACTTGTGGGATTCCCGTAAATACCAACCGGCCGGTGAAAGAATGTTTTGCTTTCGACGTGACAACTTAAGTATGAGAGGTGGTTCTAACTTCTAATAACTAACAACATCGTTACTATCCATATGATCTCGGAATTACAGTCACCGTGCTTCTGTTCCAAACTTTGTATGGAAAAATACGAAATCTAAACAAAATTACCTAATTAGCGTTTAAAATGCCTAATATTTCCCTTGCAAACGACAAAGACCATCGAAGGTTGCTTAAGAAGCAGGCATCCTTAGTTTAGTACGTGTGTCCTCTTTAATTACTATCTATAAAAGCTAACCCATATTGCCTTCCTATTGATTCATCTCACGAAACCTTGCCAACACTGGTCATCATTTCTCTCATCCATCATCAAGAGTCGTATAATTTCATAGGAGTTCGAATTCTCGGCGTTGTCATCATCATGGCTCTTCCAAAAACACTAGTGACGTCAATCGTGAGAAAGTGGAGGAAGATTACTTCATTGAGAAGAATGGGGTCGATTGCTTCTCCTTTTTCTCCGGTGGATGGATCATTTTCTTCCTACGATAGAAGGGGTCATTTCGTGGTCTACACGGTGGATGAAAGCCGTTATATGATACCATTGAAATTTTTGAAAAGTGAAATGGTTCTAGAGATATTGAGGATGTCTGAAGACGAGTTTGGATACTCGAGCAACAAACCAATTATGTTCCCGTTTGACACTTTTGTAATGGATCAGATTATTTTGTTACTCATCTCAAAATAAATTAGAGATGAAATGCTTGAGCAAGTACTTTAATTGTAAGCGTTAAGGGTTGCTCATCATCGAACCATTAATCTTTTTATCTTACATCATACTTGCGAAAGCTAGTTTGTTGTACAACAAGTTAACTATTGCCATAATTTGTAAATGTTGTCTTAGTTACATACTAGAACAAAAGTCCAACACACAAAATTTAGTAACTTTGGATCATAAATTGATAGTTAAGGTTATGTGGATTGACATTATCGATTTATCAAATTATACTTTAAACACTGTTATACTGGGATTTGACATTGTTCTTTTTAGTGCAAGTCATATAGAAAGCGGATCGAGTTTTGACAAATTCTACAACAAACCCAATCTGCAAATTATGGACTAGGTTCAAGCCATTGTTTTTTTTTCTTGGTTGCAGGCAGGATGGAAGTGGGCCGAGTTTTAAAAAATTCCACACCTGACCCAACCCGTCAATTACAATAGAGGGTAAAACTCGCTCCTGGCACAAAACTCGTCAAACCCAGGTTAAAGCCACTCTATTCGTGTCTAATTATGTGGGATAGTCGCCCATTAATATGACTCTGTTTTGTTTTTCGGGTGCCCGTAAGATGGAAAGAGGGCCGAATTTTAATAAAATCTACACCCAACACAACACGCCAATCACAAAAGCGGCTAAAACTCTGTCCTGTGATCAAAAACTCGTCAACACTATTAACAAAATTAGTCTGAGTTTTTAATCGTGTTGGGTTAGGTGTGAATTTATTAAAAACTTGGTTACACCTAGTCAAAGCGAGTTGAACCCAGTGTTGATGAGTTTTGGGTCGACTGTGAGTTTAATTAATTTTAGTGTTTTCTAAATTTTTTTCCCCCTTTTGGGTGAAAATGAAGATTGAACCCAAACACATGCGTATCCAAACTAGGGGGACTCGTGTCCATTCTACAATCACCGGGAAACCCAACAACATATGTTTTCTTCTGAAAAAGTATAAAACAAAATTCTGCGTTCTTTCAAAATTCTTAAAATTCGACAAATGTGCATGGGCTAGTCAATTGTGGAGAACTTCAAATGTTGCGGGTTTATTTAAAACGAGAGGAACGTCTTCCTGCAAGGAATGGGTAGCAACAGTAGCGGAGAATGCCCTTCAGCTGGATTTTAAAGAGTGGAGCATGGTGTTTTGGTCTTTTTGGAAAGAGAGAAACGCTCACTTGTTCAATGTTATAAGAATCGAACCGAATCGATGGTTGGGCCAGTAGAACCACCATATCAGTTACAATAGGGGTTCGGTTCGGTTCAGTGATTGAATGGTTATTAATGGTCCAAACGGTTTTTCACGGTTCAACATAAAACCAAATGAACCCCCACGGTTTAACTGGTCTACTGGTTCACTATTTTAACCATAATTTTTTTTTAAAAACTTTAACGTAAACTAAGATCATCAAGCCTTTATTATTAATTTTATATATGCTTCCTCTTCTCATTTTCCAACCTTGTTGACGTTTTTACGTGGTCCACTACCAAGTACCAACTGGCACTATAATTTTAACTTGAATTAAAAAAAATTATGATTTCTTTTGTGATATGTTTTGAATGATTGATTAGATATTTTGGTGATGATATGAATTTGAAATTGTTTATGGTCAATGATAATTTCATTGTTAAATTAGTATAATATACAAGTCTTGTATGTAATATATCATGAACGGTTCTATCAACGGTTTTTGTACCGATTAACCACTGAACCCTAAACCAGTAACTTTTCCAGTTCAGCCTCCGATCTGGTTCTAAAAACAGAGGTTTTAAGATAGCGGAGGTGGATATACTGCCAAGAGCGAGGTCCCTCCTAGATTAGTACAGAGCTTGACAACCAATTGACGAAACGATACAACAGGATCCCTGCTAGAAGTCCTGGACTCGGCCAACGTTCGGGAAGCTTAAACTAAATACGGATGCAGACTTGTCAGGGGAAGGAGTAGGATTGGGGGTGGTGATTCATAATCATGGGGGTGGTGATTCGTAATCATGATAGGTAGTGAGTCTCGGTGTTTCTAACAGATCTTTCTCTATTGAATTTCCCCCGACAGTTTTCATTACTTAATTTCTTTATTTAATTTTACTTTTAGAAATTAGTTATCTCTCAAACCTTTTTCACTTGTAGTTTGCTCTTTAAAATTGATATAATATAATGTTGTACCAATCACTGAGAGACGATACCCGGACTTTTCAGTGTACTACGAGATAGGAAATTAGCATATACGCTTTTCCCTATCAATAGAAAAGCAAGTTAAGGATATTCAGGATCCAGAGGTGGAGAGGCGATGGCAGAGGAATTTGGAATGCCATTGGCGAGCCAACACTTGCAGGGTGATCCAATTTTGGAACTTGATTCTCTTTCAGTGATTCTATGCATTGGGGAGGCTGAGTATATACAGACGGAGCTGGGTGTTATTTGCAAGAGTATCAAGAGGTTACTAGACAAGATTGACAACAGAGCTATCATGCATGTGAGCAGAAATGCAAATGAAGCAGCACACATCATGGCACATTCGAACACAAGATGGAATGAAGTGGAGGTTTGGTTTGATCGACCCTCGATGTATTTGATTGATCGATTGAAATCAGATGATGTAATGATTTCGACAAATTAATAATGCCATGAGCAGGGTTTTTATCCTGACTAAATTCACAACCTGTCGCACAACGGGAGCTGTCGTGCTAGTATATGTGTGAAGATTGGACTCATCCGCCATAATTCTTTTCTTTTTTAGTTCTTCCTTTTTTGCATGGTCCATTAAATTGTACCGTACCGACGATTCAACCACAAAATACCAGTATTGGAGGCTAAACCGATAGGCGGTATTTAACGGTACTAACGGTTAAACTACGGTTAAACCACGATTTTATCATAAAATACCCTATCGCTGATTTTTCCAGTACGGTCTCTGGTACGGTTTCATGGACCATGCTTTTTTGGAGAAGTCTAGTTTTCTTTGTTGGCTGGCATTCACTTAATTAACTCGGCACGAGTACTGCACTCTTTCTCCTTACTTGTTCCGTTCTTTTCGTTTCGTTTCTTTTCAGGGTCGCATTCACCTTACTTTTTCTGCTTCTTCATTCAAACACACTGGCATCTTGCGACTGCCCTCGTCGCCGTCTGGAAACAGAGTAATAGAACCCCCGTTTCTCACCCTTCCAACCAAAATTGCATCCGCCAAAGGATCTTCAACCAGCTGTAAAATCGCCCTCATCAATGGACTCGCTCCGTAGCTGGGATCATACCACTCTTCAGCGACTTTCGCCTTCAATTTCTCATCTACCTGCATTAGAATCCCCTGTTAGCGGATTAATAAGCCCATTTATAACTGTACATTAGCCCATTTATTGTAGGCCTGGGATCCATGAAACCCATGCGGACGTGGGATTAATTCCCAAAATACAGTAATAATTAAAAAAAATTCCCAGAATACCAAACTTTTAAAAAAAATTCCCAAACTACCAAAGTTTGACATAGTTCGAGTTTACAAAACTCGAACCAGTAGTGGATCGATTGTCAAAAACACGATCCAGGTGAATCGAGGATGGGACACTCGAACCACATGAAGTGGATCGATGAGCTGGGCAGCGCTCCACCATAGATCGATTTACTAGGACGCGATCAGGGTCGTTCGATTGTTCAACAATCGAAGCAGTGATGACACGGATCGAGTGCGGTAAACTCGAGGTAGGTGGATCGAGTCTGCTATAATCGATCCAGTTGACGCGGATCGATGACGTCAGGCGCGCCCAACCGTTGATCGAGTGGTCTGAACTCGATCTAGGCCGTTCGACTGTCAAACCCGCGAAGCAGGGATGACGCGGATCGAGTGCTTCAAACTCGATGACGCGGATCGAGTGTCTAAAACTCGATGCAGTGGATCGCTGATGTCAGCATCGATCAACCGTTGATCGATTACCCTAAGCTCGATCTGGTTCGTTCGATGCGCCTAACCACGATCTGCTTTTGACGCGGATCGAGTGCATAAAAATCGATGCACTTGTTCGAGTTTTGTAAACTCGATCCACTCTCCCACAGAACCTATAAATACCCCCTCATATTCCACCAAAACTCACACCACTCCATTCTTCTTCCTCTCTTCCTCCCACCACTCTTGAAGAAAAAAATATGCGCTGTGGTTGCGGCTAAACCCGATCTTCCGCATCAGATTTTTTTTCTTTAGTTTGGTACTTCTATCACTCAAAATTGTCGAGATGGATCCGAGTATTTACGATCCTAGATTATACATTCAAGGTGGACCGCGAGAAACCGATTTGTTGGATGAGCAACCTTACCATCGGTCTGAAAGTGTTTGGGCGGCAGATCCGGTAGGCACTTCCTCATGTACTTTTTTTTAATGTGATAGTATTCTTCTAATTTTTTTGTATAATAATTAATGTATTTTTTTCTACAGGAACAACTTGACGTAATCACCCATCGGTCGCTATCTCGCTTGCCTAAATGGGATGATCGTATCGAGCCCTTCATATCTAGAGCGCGATTGCTGAGGGTGCGAAAGTTTGTGGGGATGGAGATGGACAACAACCTTCTTACGGCAATGGTGGAAAGATGGAGAAAAGAAACGCACACATTCCACCTTCTAGAGGGAGAGATGACGATTACGTTGAAGGACGTAGCCATGCTGACAGAGCTTCCAATCGATGGTGATGCAATAATAGAAAGTTCTTCAAAACCATTGAATGGTTGGGGCCAATATATAAGCGAGCGTTTAGGTATCATCATCACAGAGGAAGCAGAAGAAGGTCGTCGTGTACCACCTCTACACAAGTCTATGCTATTGATACCTTGGCTAGTGAGGACCGCTGGGGAATTACCGGAGGATGCCACGGATGCTCAGATAGAGAGGTATGCTCGCATCTACCTTATTTGTTTGGTTGGAGGATTTTTGTTTCCGAACAAGTCTGGTGGAAATATGCATTGTATGTGGCTTCGAGTTCTTTTGGAAGATTGGGATGAGATTGGGAGAAAAAGTTGGGGATCTGCTTGTTTGGCGAGGATATATTCGGAGTTGTGCAAGTGTACGGATCCGAAAACAAAGCAAGCAGGTGGTCCCATGTTCATCCTCCAACTATGGGTTTGGGAGCACCTTCCTACTTTCGCTCCGATCTGCCCTGCCAACAGTTGGGGTCCCGATGAGCCACTACGACAATGGGCTTATGGTGCTAGATGGATTGGAGCTATCACGAGTTTCTCTTCTCTAGATGGGTACCGCCAACATCTTGACCGTATAGAATTCAACGAGGTAACATTCTAACTTATGATTATTTATTTTTAATTTATTTGTTGAAGTTATTTGTCTTAGCCTATGATTTATTTTTATGATTACGAATTCTATTTTATTTGTTGAAATTATTTGTCTTAGCCCATTATTTATTTTTATGATTACGAATCCTATTTTATTTGTTGAAATTATTTGTCTTAGCCCATTATTTATTTTTGTGATTATGAATCCTATTTTATTTGTTGAAATTATTTGTCTTAGCCCATTATTTATTTTTATGATTATGAATCCTATTTTATTTGTTGAAATTATTTGGCCCGATTTTAATTTATATGTTGTGTTGAAACTTAGGTGGAGTGGGATCCGTATCCGAACGGAGCAAAGGATTTGTACGAGTTGCGATACCCTGAGGATCGCCGACTCTGGTCGTGCAAGTTGCCTGTGATTTGCCACAACATTGCCGAGTGGCACCTCCCGGATAGATGTGTCCGACAATATAATTGGACGCAACCGATTCCTCTCCCACCACCGGACGTACATAAGTCACTCCACAAGTACAGCAAGGATTTGCGGGGTACAATAACTGATTGGCCAACCAAGCACCGTAGATGGATCGAAATGTGGGAGTCTCGTCAGACGTATGCAATTGATGGGATCCCAATGACGAGGCCAATGGGGTACCAAGATGAATACATGGTTTGGTACCGCAAGTTCACAAAAAGATGGGTAACCAAACGTGGCGCCGTGATCGGTTCATTGGTAAGCACAATATCTATTTACTATAATCACCTTTAGCTACACAAATAGTGTTTGACTAACATGTTTATTATTTAGGTTGATGGGTTGGAACTTGCATCAATGACGTTGGAGAATGAACCAGAAGATAATGTGCCAGGGGAGAAAATTTCATTCTTGAAGAAGCTCTTCAAGAATCTCTTGTCATGTTCGCGGGAAATCCGAAGGGATGTCATTGCATATCCTCCTGCTCCTGCACCGCCACGTCCTTCCTCCCACGCCATTGAAGTTGAATCTCTCCCGCCATCACCACCAAGGAGGAGTAAGCGTCGGCAAGAGCCCGTTACAGTCCCTGTGCATGTACGAGAAGATGTGGCACTTCCTGACCCATATGAGTATGGATTCCCTCCCGCCAGAAGGGAATTTGGAGAGGGATCATCAGGTTCTGCTCAAGGAGGGGGAGGAGGAGCCTACTATTCACCGTATGGTCATCAATTTCAAACCCCGCATCAAAGCTTCCAGACTCCGATTCCAAATGTTTATTATGGTCCTCCAACCACTGCAACCCCACCTCCATTGCCACGAAATACTGGAATTGGATATGGAGTTCGTTCAAGGAATAGACGTCGAAGGGAGGGACGCGGACGTGGAGCACAAGAGTGAGGTGTTCTTTAGAGTTGTTAAGTTATTCTATTTCTTTAGAGTTGTTAAGTGGTTCTATTTCTAATGACGTTGTTCCGTTGTTCTATTTCTAATGACGTTGTTCCGTTGTTCTATTTCTTTAGAGTTGTTTAGTTGTTCTATTTCTTTAGAGTTGTTAAGGTGTTCTATTTCAAATGACGTTGTTAATTTGTTCTATTTCTCAAATTGTTAAGTTGTTCTATTTTACAACATAAAGTTTTTAAATCACAACATAAAATTCAAATTACAACATAAAGTTCTTAAATCACACCATAAAATTCAAATCACAACACAAAGTTCTTAAATCTCACCATAAAATTCAAATCACAACACAAAGTTCTTAAATCACACCATAAAATTCAAATCACAACACAAAGTTCTTAAATCACACCACACCATAAAATTCAAATTACAACATAAAGTTTCAATTATCAGTCGATGGCCCTGGACACTGGCGCCTATCATGCCCTTCAACTCGACATGCAGAGCACTTCTTCGGGCGGCGTCGCTGTGTCCTTGATCTATCCATTTCATTTGCAATTCGGTTAACTCTAGGTCGACCTTTGGTACGCTTCAAGTGCTCGGGAGGGTACACTACAGGTCCATCATACTGGGGCCAATATGCTTCATGAGCCAAGGGAAAGAACGACCCTTCCCAAACTCTGACCACATATGGAGTCTTGTAGTATGGACTAACAAATATCAACGGGTCCAAATTAACGCTTCTCGCAGCTGCATATGCATGAGAGCAAGGCAGGTGTCTCCCTTGAAACTTCCCACAAGTACACTCTCCAATTCCATTCTTTGCATCCAGTATAGCTGTTTGAGCATTACCACCCTTTGAACTATCTGGTCCACTTCCTGTTACTACTGCGAAGCGGGAATCTCTTCGACTAAATAAAGTCACCTTATGCCATTTTGCCCTTTCTGACCATGGTTTCATATCATCCGTAATCTTCTTTGGGATGTAGATTCCAGCATTCAACATCTGATATGCTGCTTGGTAGCGTTCAACGAACCATGTCACCGTACGAAAGAAGGTATGCAAGACTATAGATGAGATAGGCATTGCACAAAGACCAACATACAAACCATTGAGGCACTCACCCATATTCGTTGTTGTTATTCCATACCTATACCCTTCGTCTTGATGTAACGTCCACCTCTCATAAGGATGAGTTTCTAGCCAATCTGCACCTTCAGAGTGGACCTCCCTTATGCTCTTCATTTTGTCTACAAACTTTCTAGTCTGAAAAGCAATAGCTACAATAAAGCAAAATAAGGTTAGTAAAGGAGTATACGCATTCAACCAATTGATATAATCACAACATCTTATTTGTTCTTACCAGCGTGCCAAACTGCACGTTGTCTGATAGGGCAAAAGCGTATATGCCAATTCCTATCTTGTAGTAATCCGGAAAGTCCGGGTATCGTCTCTCAGGGACTGGTACAACCTTAAGTTCTATCAATTTTATGAACAAACTATAAGTGAAAATAGTTGAATGAGACTAATTTCTAAAAGCAAAATAAACTAAACAAATAAACTAAATGAAAACTGTCGGGAGAAATTCAATGGAGAAAGCTCTGGGAGAAACACCGGGACTCACTACCTATCATATCCAGATTAATTC